AGGACGTCCTTCTTCACCCAAAGAGTGATTAACACTTGGAATTCACTGCCACAGGAAGTGGTGGGTGCTACAAGCATGGATGGCTTCAAAAGGGAATTAGATAAGCATATGGAGCAGAGGTCCATCAGTGGCTATTAGCCACAAGGTATAGCTAGGGGCTCTGGGGCAAGTGATGCTCTGTCTTCTTGGTGCTTGGGGGGGTCAACAGTGGGAGGGCTTCTAATGTCCTGGCTCCACTGCTGGACCTCCTGATGGCACTGGTATTTCTGGCCACTGTGTGACACAGAGTGTTGGACTGGATGGGCCTTTGGCCTGATCCAACATTGGCGTCTCTTATGTTCTTATGTTCTAATTGCCAGTAGCTCAAAAGGTAGAATTTTTGCTCACAAGACTCCACAGCTTAGAGGGAGCATTGGTTGGGGGTCAGTGTTCCCTCTAAGCTGAGTGAGTGTGAGCCGGCTCACCGTTTTTTAGCCTCCAGCTCACACACTTTTGTCTTAGCCCAGGAAGGAGGGCTCCGGAGCAAACTAATTGATGCAGGAGCCAAAAATCGATGGCTCACAAGTTTAATGCCACTCGCTCACAAAGTAGAATTTTTGCTAACAGCTTAGAAGGAGCGTCGCCCCAGAGGTCAGCTGCCAGTCTAAACAGACAGTACTGATATGTTGTCGAAGGCTTTCATGGCCGGAGTTCCTTAGTTCTAGATTTCCCGAGCTGTCTGGCCGTGGTCTTGGCATTCTGGGACCTGGCGTTTCACCGGTAGCTGTGACTGGCATCCTCAGAGGTACAACACAGAAAGACGGAGTGCTCTCTGTGTCAAGGGGAGAAGGAAAATGGTAGGCAGGTGATTTATATCTACTCCGGAAGGTGGGGTAGGGCTGAGTCATTATCTTGTAGGAGTTCCCCAGGCTGTAAACCTCCTCAGGAAAGCTCCTCCATTAGCAGGTTTTTTTAGCCTCCGGCTCACACACTTTTGTCTTAGCCCAGGAGGGCTCCAGAGCAAACTAACTGATGCAGCAGCCAAATCGCTCGCTCACAACTTTAGTGCCAGTCGCTCACAAAGCGGAATTTTTGCTCACAAGACTCCACAGCTTAGAGGGAGCATAGGTTGGGGCCCGCAGTGTTCCTTCTAAGCTGAGTTAGTGTGAGCCAGCTCACAGGTTTTTTAGCCTCCAGCTCACACACTTTTGTCTTAGCCCAGGAAGGAGGGCTCCAGAGCAAGCTAATTGATGCAGCAGCCAAATCGCTCGCTCACAACTTTAGTGCCAGTCACTCACAAAGCGGAATTTTTGCTCACAAGCCTCCACAGCTTAGAGGGAGACATGATGATTTCCAAAAGAGGAGGGGAGATGGAGGAGGAGAAAGAGCACGTCTTAATTTGCCTGGCGTCGCACCTGGAGGGAGGGATGGTATGGTTTTGCGCTGCCTGCATTTGTGTTTCCTTCTCTGCCTCTCTCTTCCCCTTGCTCTGCAAATTTGATCTCTGTGTTCGCCTCCTCCTTCCCTCTGCACATGACTTATTTATGGATTTAAAACATTTCCGCCCGAATAGGGTCCCCCGAAAACAAAGCATTAAAATGTGTCAACCTTAAAACAGTGTTTACAATGAGCATCAGGCCCCCGCTGGGTCAGACCAGTGGTCCACCTTGTCCAGCATCTTGCCTCACTAAGTGACTTCCTCTGGCGATCCAACAACAGGGCAGAGAGGCCGAGGCCTTCCCCTGATCTTGCCTCCTGGTATGGGGATTCAGAGGTTGACTGCCTTTGAATGGGGAGGTCCCCCTCAGTCACCATGGCTAGTAGCTACAGCTAGACTGCCACATGCAGCGGCTGCTGTGACCTTGGGTCAGTAATAAGTTCTCTCAGAGCTGTTCTCTCAACACCAGTTCTGGAAAGAGCTCTCTCAGCCCCACCTACTTCACAGGCAATGCTCCCTGTAAACTGTGGAGTCTTGTGAGCAAAAATGCTAGTTTGTGAGCTGCTGGCATTAAAGTTGTGAGTGAGCGATTTGGCCAATGCATAAATTAGTTTGCTCTGGAGCCCTCCTTTCTGAGCTAAGACAAAGAATGTGTGAGCTAGAGGCTAAAAAACTGTGAGCTAGCTCACACTAACTCAGCTTAGAGGGAACACTGCTCATAGGGTGTCTGTTATGGAGAGTGGAAGGGAAAGGAGATTGTAAGCTGCTCTGAGACTCCTTCAGGTAGTGAAGGGTGCAGTATAAATCCAATCCCTCCTTCTTTCTAACATAATAATAATAATATAAAAATTTAAAAAGAGCCCTGCTGGATCAGACCAGTGGTCCAACTAGTCCAGCATCCTGCCTCACAAAGTGGCTAACCAGTTCCTCTGGCGATCCAACAACAAAAGCAGAGAGGCCGAGGGCTTCCCCTGATGTTGCCTACTGGCATCGGGATTCAGAGGTTGACTGCCTTTGAATGGGGAGGTTCCCTTTAGTTAGAGTGACTCATAACCACCAATAGAGTTCTCCATCATGAATCTTTCTAAGGTATTAATTATAATATAATAAGAACATAAGAAGAGCCCTGCTGGGTCAGACTAATTAGTCCATCTAGTCTAGCCTCCCCTCTCACACAGTGGCCAACCAGTTCCTCTGGAGGGCCAACAACAGGGCAGAGAGGCCGAGGCCTTCATGATAACATCAGAAGAGCCCTGCTGGATCAGACCAGTGAGGGTCCATCCAGTCCAGCCTCCTGTCTCACACAGGGGCCAACCAGTTCCTCTGCAGGGCCAAGAACAGGGCAGAGAGGCCGAGGCTTTCATAAGAACATCAGAAGCGCCCTGCTGGATCAGACCAGTGAGGGTCCATCTAGTCCAGCATCCCGTCTCACACAGTGGCCAGCCAGTTCCTCTGGAGGGCCAACAACGAGGCAGAGAGGCCAATGATAATCCCTGATATTCCCTCCTGGCTCTGAGATTCAGAGGATTACTGGCTCTGAACGTGGAGGTTCCCCTCGGTCACCATAGCCAGTAGCCACTGATAGATTTATCCTCCATTAATTTTATCTATTCCCCTTTTGAAGCTGTTTATTCCTGTGGCCATCACGCCATCCCCTGGCAGCGAGTTCCACATTTTAATCACTCTCAGTGTAAAGTAGTGTTTCCCTTTCTCCATCCTGAACCTCCTGCCCATCAGGTTCATTGGATGCCCTCGGGTTCTAGTATCTTTTAAAATTTAATTTAATGGAGGGCTTCTAATGTCCTGGCCCCACTGGAGGACCTCCTGAGGGCACCTGGTGTTTTTGGCCACTGTGTGACAGAGTGTTGGACTGGATGGGCCTTTGGCCTGATCCAACATTGGCGTCTCTTATATTCTTATGTCTTACTGTTTTATCCTGTTTTTATGTATGGGCTTGTGCCCTCTTGTAAGCCGCCCTGAGGCCGCTCGCGGGGAGGGCAGGGTAAAAATGTTAAAAATAAATGAATTAAAAAAATAAATCTTGGGAGAGGGAGAAAAAGTTATCTTTGTCAACTCTCTCTGTCCCATGCACAATATTATAAACCTCTCTCATGTCCCCCCCCCCTTTAGTTGTCTCTTTTCTAAACTGAAAATGATAAAATAATATAAAACAAACAATTCACTGAAAACATATCAAACACACATAACAAGCAATACGAGGACCAATACGTTATTGGGGGCAGGCCAAACAAAACAAGATAGAAGAACAAGAGAAGAAGAGATTGGGTTTATACCCCGCCCTTCACTTGGAGTCTCAGAGCGGCTCACAAACTCCTTTCCCTTCCCCTCCCCACAACAGACACCCTGAGAGGTCGGTGGGGCTGAAAGAGCTCTGACAGAAACTGCTCTTTTTCAAGAACAGCTCTTATCAGAACTACGGCTTGCCCAAGGTCATCCAGTAGGTGCAAGTGGAGGAGTGGGGAATCAAACCCAGTTCTCCCAGATTAGAGTCCGCGCACTTAACCACGACACCAAACTTCACCACTGGTGGAAGAGAATAACAGGGAGAAAGACTAATCTCCCTGGGGAGGAATTTGGAAAGTTTAGGTGCTACAACAAAGAAGGTGGCCACCTGTCTAGCCTCGTGGTGGGGGCACCGAAACTGGACCTCCCCGAAGATGGCTGGGTAGATTTCTATAGGAGAAAGTTTTGAATGATGAAATCTCACCGATTACTACGTGCCTGGTAGTAGACGCCATTGACTTCTGTAGGAATGACTTCTGACAAAACATTGACGGGACTGTGCCGTAAAGGGAACCAGAGGCCGAAAGGCATGCCTCTATAATTTTCTTGTTTATTCCCCTTAAAAAAAAAAAAAAATTATCAGCTGTGACTCACGGTGGCCGGGCAGCTTGCTAAAAATACGCATGTTAATACCACAGAAGAAATGTCAAACCCAGAATGCGGGAGGTTTGCATAGGAGAGGAAACACGACTTTTCCCCCAGTGTGTCCTTACCTGCTGCAAGGGA